TTGGGTAGTCACTACAAAAAAGCTGCCAACGATTTAATAAGAATACAAGCAAAGGCATTAGTCAAGTGAAACTATGACTTAAGCGATCGAATAAAAAAAACACGTGTTCATTCAATGCAACTCAAGTAGAATTGACATCGTTTATATTAAATAGACTCATACATATTTTTAAAAAAAATCTATCACTGCGCGTGAACTAGATTTGGCTCTGTCATGACGTTAGAACAGAAACTTTGGAAAGCGGAGGGTTTTTTTTTACATTCCTGCTTTCCTTACTTGAACTTTACTTTTGGAGAATGTGACTTTGTGAAATCTGACCGTGGCATATAATTATCTCAGAGAGGCGTTTGGCGAGCCCTAATGAGGATTCAGAGTCTCAAGGAAGACAGGTACTCACCACAAAACCTATAATTTGGTCTCTCCCCCCATTCTCCCTCATTCTTGTCTTTTAAAGCACAACAGTAAATCAAACTATTCTCCTTAACTGCAATTCTGGCAGTCAAAATGTTAGGGTTCTTAAGCCATGAAGAACAGCGTGGGCACTTGGCCAAATGATATAGTGCCTGCATGTCTTCTGACCTTGCAGTGACCTGTTGTATTTGCTTGCGCGAGTGGGGAGGAGCAGAGGCACAATGGGAAAGTGCGCTGCACAAGAAAACAAATTACTTGAGTTTGGATCCCACCTGTGGCGAAGATCAGTGGAATGTGCTCGCAGAGCTTGCCAGGGCCCTCCCCCTAGTAGACTCAACTCTAAATGAGCACAGTGCAATGTTGCACGTCCGACCGTCGCATATCCGGCCCGAACCAATTGACCGCCCGCACCCAGTGCAGAATTTGTCCACGTTGCTGTCGGAATGTTCTAATGCGTGATTCCGGTCATCTGACCTTTTCACATATCCGCCTATACCTCATTCCACAGCAAGTTGGTAGCTGGTGGGGTGTGCACACATCAGCATTGAGTAGACAAAGGCGGCCGGGCGTGGGTCGGCCCACACCATTCCACTCGTACCTCATACCAGCCGTAACACCTGCTCACTAGTGCAGTGGGGATCAGCGGCGGCGCATCTGCCGGTCATCTCAACCTGTCCCGCGATCTCCTGCCAGCAAGCGAGCCATCGACACCTCCACGTTACCTCGAAGTGCACCACAGCCTGACACAAGCGCCGTGTTGCTGCTGTAGTTGCTGTCATGAATAGCGCAACAGCAGATGTTGTTAAAAAATTGTAAGATTTACGACGGAGCCACGAGGTAGACAGAAGTTGAGCGCGACCAGTCCCGCCCACCCACACTTAATTCGGAATCAAGTGCCACCTAGAACATGAAAGAAGTCGCCTGTGGGAAGCTGATTCATACCTGCAGGAAATCTTTGTTCCGTCTGTTTTGATTGAATCACCAGGGCCACTCTCTGCAGAACCTATCATTCGGCATTTTCTCTCTCTCCCCCACCCCCCTCTTTCTTTCACTATCAATCAAGTTAAATGCCCTCCCTAGGATTTGGGGACCACATGCGAAAATGGGGCCCTCGTGAATCACGACAAGGGCGTGTTGCACGATGCCCCCCTTCTTTGTGGGTAATAAAAAAGTCGGTGAAATACAGCTACCTCCAAAGTTCTGACATTGGGGCCCTTGTGCTTTATGATTATAATTATTATTATTGCAAAGGGTTGAAGATTTTTTTTTATTTTGTTGTCATTTCACATACTTGTGGTTTCTTTATATGTACAGTGGAACTCAATGTTGGTTTTCGCGACCAATATAATCCATAATAGAGTTGTTTTGGGTTAGATCGCGTAAATATATGTGTGTCGTTAAACCCGCCACCACCCGACACAGCCAATTAGTAAGGTTTGTCACGTAAACAAAACGTGCCAATTCGTCACTAGTACATCACACCGGTGTGTTGGAGTGCAATGCCACAACATTTACAATCTGAGTACGACGTTTCGCCAGTAATTACGACTAGCTTCATCAGGCGACAGACAGATTTGTGGAGAAATCCTCCTGTTTCGTTCCTCAAATAGAGGGGTAGATGTGATGGCGTCACTTGTGTGCTCTTCTTGCGCGAAGTGGTGGTGGGGATTATTGAATAAATACACATGACAATGGGTATCCATTGCCGTTTGAGTAATTTATTTGGTCATCAACGTACATTATGCATGTGCATTATGCAAGCTCATTGTTCTTGTAGCTCCTGTCGATTGTGTGCATTCAAATAGCCGTAGCAACGCTAACTCCTATTGAGGAATGGTGACTGTGTATGGGCATGAATTTAAACGACGATTCGCTTCCAAGCTTCCAAGCAGCACTAAGTCTGTAGATATCCGGACGGTTACAATTATTTTTACTTCTCTCAATTTCGATAGATTCTCTAATTGGTCTTGGCCAGTAGTAGCTAGTTTTGCACAGAACTTCAATTTTATCAAAATCAATAAAGTGTCCTTGTTGACACGCGTGTTCTGCTACTGCTGACAATTGCATTTGGTGTTATTTTAGTCTCGTGCTGATCATTCGTCCTGTTTGCCCAACATAGCATTGCCACAAGTGCAATTAATCCGGTACACACCTGCGCGATCTAACCCAAAAAAACCTGTATTATAGATGATATTGGTCGTGACAGCCTACGTGTTCAACTGGCTGTGTTTTATTTTAACATTTCGACCACGCGCGAGCAGAATATCCAGAAATGGTAGAGTTCTGTCAGTTTCCACTTCCATGGTGAACTGGATGAATGGGTTTTGCGAGTTGAGATGATTTAGAAATTCGTTAAGTGTATCTTTGCCGTGTGGAAATCATCACGAGAACCAATTTTCATAGTTTGACTCCCTCCAACTTCCAGAGCGTGGTTGCACCTCCCCTCCAAGGCCATGTGACCAACGGTGTATGGTCTTCCTGCTGCACACTATTGTGCATATGCAGCTTCCAACTGTTGGAGTCCATGGGAGTCAACCATCATAATTATACCCTCATCATTTGTGGGGAGACCGTCAATTCTGACCGCCGAGTCATCTTTCGACAGTCGCATATGGCTGAGTGCCAATCTCTCAGAGCCCTAAAGCAATGTTTTGGACAATAGCTGGCTTTTTGGTAATTTGATTGTTTGTGAGTTTATCATGTGTACCAAATTAAAGGGCAATCCATGACCAAATATGTGTGTTAGTTGTCTTCCTAGTTATGCAGAGTCAGGCGTTGCTAATTCAACGTCTGGGGCTGGAATGGTGGTGCAGTGGCTCGTGCATTGCACTTTGAACAAGTCAACTTCGGTGAGATTCCCATCCATGGCTAACATTGATGGCGAATGAGATCTTAACTGGCCCTAGGACTAACCCTTCCCTCACCAGCACATACCGAGCAAGATCGGGAAGTTAGCTCGAATAACCCACACGATTGGCAGTGTGTGGAGGCCTCAATCTTGCAGTGAATTTACAAGGGGCTGACATTATTATTGTGAAATAAACTATGTTCGTTTATGTTATTTTTTTTTATCGGAAACATTAATGGAACACGTTTTGTATTTGGCCAGAAAGCTCAGGGATAAGCTACCCTTTCATCTACGTTTTATTATTTAAAATGCAACAGAGACAAATTGTGTATTCCTCTTCCGTGTAAGAGAAAAGCAAACCGCCATCTGGCAACACTTGGCGTCGAAGACGGATGTTAGCGGGACAATGTAAATCATGATACACATTTCAAATACACCCAGACAGGTGATGATGAGAACCTAGAGAGGGTTCTTTGTGAGCCAAGGAATAGAACGTTGTTTTAACTCAATGTCCGTTTTTAAAGCGAATCTGAAGACACATTTGATTGTGAAGGCGCACGGCCAATCAGTTAGTCGCTTTTGTATTATCTTAAATATGATATAATTAATGTGTTCACTGGTCTTTGTTATTTTGTTGTTCTTATCGATTTTTGACGTGACCTACATTGCATACTGTTCTTTGTTACCATTGACTAATGTTATTTATTTTAAATATATATTTCTGTCATAAAATGTGTCATTTGTTGATACCAAATACACCTACAGCCCTGCTATCAATCCACTGCTGGATTAGAGTCTCCCTACTCTGTACGGTGCACGGGGGTTATCTGACTATACCTCACCACACTGTTCAATGCATTTTGGTGCAGGTGTGGAGTATATCGTAGGGGAAATAGACGTACAGTATAACAATGCATTTCCCTGTGCTGCCAACCACATAGCCCAAAGTCTATGACAACCTGTGAGCCAGACCAGCCACTCAAACCCAGAACTCACCCGGCTTAGCCTTACTTAGCTACTGAGATCTCACGAGATCAGATGAATTCCCAGGTGATGAAATCATAGGTATTCCTAACACGTACAATATTTTGGAAGGTTGAGGTTTATGATGTGTCTTGTGAATTATGCATTATAAATTATGAAGATGCTGATGATGATGAAAGGAGGCTATAAATAAGCCTAAGAATACCAATGCTGCTTAAACACTCCTAAATATTGCATTCATAATGGCATATTTCACATGACTTGAAACGCTAACCCAAGCCACATCCAGCAACATCATTTCCAGTTACATTTATCGTTCACGGTAGAGCTGACGTTTTTTTGTTGTTGTAGCAAGCAGTCATCGAATAAAATGTTCACATTAACAGGTTTTTAGTGTCAACGCCGCACCGCGCACCGTGCACCGCGGAGGACGAAGCCGTCTCGTGCTCCGCATAGCGCTGGCGAAATTGCCAACGGGGGGGAGTGGGGGTGAGTTACGAGCCTTTTGCATTCTCTGGCCACCCTGAAACCGCAGACCCCTCCTTGTCATCTGCAGTGCAATTAGAGTTGAAATTGCGGCTCGCTACAAAAGCAGTTTCGGGGCCAAGAGAATGTCTTCTTTAATTCCTAGGCTGAGTTGCAGCACTTTTAATACATCCAAAAAGTACACGCTTGCCTTGGCAGCCAGAGAAGGCAGCGAGAGTCTCCCGCTGCTGGGTGTAGGCCAGTGGGATTTTGTTTTTTTCCCCTCTTGCAGGAGCGGCCAAGCCTCGACGCCTCCACTCAGCCGTGCCGTGTGTGACGGCCAGATATGCAGCCTGGACAGGCCACCGAGGATGCCCCCTCGACTAGAATACAAGTCACGGAGGATCTTCTGTGCAAGTCACTGAGCTCAGTGCGGCTTACCTGGCCTGTGGTGTCGTGGGGATGCATTTGTATGTTAAGCGATGGTAAAGGTATAGGGTATTAATCGCTATTTAACTATTTTCTTTATTTTACCAGGTAAGGAACACTGAGCTATATTTTTTTTTTTGCCAGAAGCGACCTGGCAACGTGGAAGTTTATAGCAGCCAAGTACTCTAGACGCATGCTTGCGAATGTGGATAGAAAAACCAGAGGACCCGGACAAAACTCCACGCGACCAGGGGAAGAACATGGAAGCTCCAAATATAGAGGGATCAGGGTCGGGATTGAACCCACGACCTCCTGCATACCAGGCGAGGTAGTTAACATCTCCTAGCCACCGTGGCACCAGTTATTGTACGACCGAGATCACCAACAATGGCTGACATGGGGTGTCAAGTGATGTTTGAGCTCGTGCTTGGCCCTCCCCGTCTCTCTGATGCTCACTAATCCCCACGGACCAGAGTGGTGAAGTATGGTCAAACATACCCCATGACCGACATGGCATGGGGAGGCCTTCATCCAGCAGTGAATTGATGAAATGCTCTAAATGTTTTGGATGAGTAACTTGCCATCTTTCAAAATGAAAGTAAAATTTTTAATGAGCACTAAAACTGATGGCATGTGCTGTGAGTAATGCATTGTTTTTACGACAGTGTCCAGATTAAAACTGTGATTGAATGAAGCTTGTGATGTGTAGCTTATTTTTACTTAGAATTATTCCATGAATCCTAAATTTAATCTTTTATTTTTACAAATTGTAGAGAATGAATGCATTTGCATTCTGTCCGAGGGTATGATAGTTTTTTTTTTCCTTTGGAAGAGCTTATAGAGTGTGATTATATCCCTCCTATCAATTTCCCAAACATCTTTCAATTCAATGTTGAGCGCTTAATTCATAAGAAGTATGAATTTTGAAACTCGGCAACACGTGTAGTGAACATTAGAGCACAGCTTCCTACCGGGCTAATTGAGGGGGCCTTGTGAGTATTTTGACATTCATGGCTGTGCGTGCGTAAATGTTTCGATGTCGTGTGCAGTGCCAACCATAATAGGTGCTTGATAGCAGTACCTGCACTGCTCCCCCAAACATCCAACCAGTCACACAGGAAAATCATAGTGAACTTGTGTCTCACTTTCTATAAACAATGTACAACAAGGACACAAGCCTCCCTTGTAACTGCACCGACGTGTGTGATCCTCTTGGGTGGCCTGCCGAGGCTGGAATGGTTTAAACCAATTTACAATTCAAAGAGCCACTGATCTGTCTTCAATGTTGTAATAATGTGAAAATTGGCAATGCTTGATGGAAAAAAAAGACTAGCATTTACCTTGCCAATGAGGGTCCTACAGTGGGGTAATTCTAATACTAATTTACAGCCCTGCGTCGATCCACTACTGGATGAAGGCCTCGCCATGCCGTGTCAGTCATGGGGATTGTTTGACCATACTTCACCACCTGGGTGAGTGCGTTTTGGTGAAGGTGATGACCATGCAATGTGCAGCATGATAGTGGGAGTGGTGTAGTGCGGCCGCACAATTCATATTGCTGTATTGCCTTCTTGCAAAGACCCACTGACTTATAATGATACGAATCATACTATATTAGAAAAAAAAACAGTTTTGCTGGCTGGCTGGCTGGCAGGCATTCAGGACGTCACGTCCGGCTGGAGGGAGGGACGGACGGTCAGGTCCAAAGGATGTTTGGGCTGATAATATATCAACATAATACTCTTAAAAATACGTAATAATAACAACAACAAACCAGTTACATTTGTCAATCCACGACAGTATGAAGGACTCCCCATGGCGTGTCAATCAAAGGGGTTGTTTGACCATACTTCACCAAGCTGGGCAGTGCGGATTGCTAAAGTGGAATCAAGGGTGGGATGCAGAGGACCAATTCGCGTATCATTTGACACTGACGTCAACCGCGTCCGGGAACCGAAAGCAAGTCGCTGGCGAGTTCACAGCACGGAACGATGACGATGGTGCCACCACTCCACAGCCTGGAGGACTCTTGCCTGGTTCTAACGAGCATTGAATCAGAGTCCCGTGCATCATTGCCATGAGAAAGTAGCGAACAGTAAAGCATGACATTCAAATACCTTCAATGATGAGACAGGGCCTTCGCGAATGATCCAAGAGTTGGTGGACGTATGCGCGTGCACGTACTCTGCTACTCACGCAAGGAGAGTCTGCTCCAGTGCATGCACGGCTTGTGGTGGAAAGCATTTTACTCGAGAAGGAATGCCAAACGCCACGCATGACATTTAGTTCATGCTCACTATTTATCCACTCCTATTCGCTCACTTTATATAAACACTTTTTTAACAACCTGCTGTGATAATTGAAGTGGTGCTCATCTCCCGTTTACAGACATCCAGCAGTGGATAAACCATGGCTAATGATGATTCGACTGGACATCTGTGCAAAAGAGCTGTACAGCTCGTCCGATTCCTCCTGTACAAATAGCGATTCCATTGCAAAAGCAATGAATCGTTTTTTTCGCTCAAGTGGGGTGATGTGATTTGACAGCGAGGCACAAATTCAACCGACGTCACAATCCCTACCTGACTTTTGAGAACTCTGTGGAGCATGAACCATAATGGGGGGGTTAGGTTTTGGGATAAATTGTCGGCGCTTTTGAAGCCGCAATGCAATAGAGTGGAAAAGCGAGCAAAACACTGGGCGTGTACCCCTGGGCGTGCCACCGTTGGGCCAGAACATTCGCCACAAAGCCTCCGGTTTGTGCTCTCGCTCGCGCACAGTTCACCCCGTGCATTTTAGGTGTAATGGACCTCTCAAAACTAATGGGCAGGAGATGATTGATTGTGACAACGGGGCGCGGATTGTTTATTTATTTATATTCTCCTCCTACTGCTGCTCTTGTCAAGATCCCCTTGTCGGCCGGTGTACCGCGCATGTTCCGTGTCCTGGGAAATGTTCACCGTGCTATCGGAGGTGGGCCGTGGGGGGGGGGGAGGGTTAGGTGAGGAGGGGGGGGGGGGTCTCTCACGGTGGAGAACCCACGGATAATCCCACGGATAATCCCACGGATTCGGCCATCGACGTCCCCACGACCCCCCAAGGCCCGCCTCGTCAGCGGATGCGACCGCTTGCGAGCGGCGCTGGGCCCAAGGTTTCGCGCCCCGCGGTGTCTTTGCTGAATTGCTCACAGATGGTCCGGCGGCTTTTGCGAGGTACAACGCGAGCATTTAAAAAAACACAGCATGCAGTCAGGGAGTTATTTAAATATATTTAATATTATTATTAGTACGATTAAATGTGCTGTGTTTTTTGACTAGCGCACAAAGAATGTGCATTACATTGCCACTCTCGTGTCCCCTCTCCCTTTTTCCTTGTCTCAGACAAAAACATCTTTAGTTTCCATTCTGAGAACAGTATCGTTCAGTTGTTCACCGTTAGTGTTACCCACCACGAAAATTAAACGTGTTTACATATAAAAAGATGAATACCAAATACGTTACGTGTTTGCCACTCACTAACAGCATTCATCGTGCTGAGACAGCATACATGTACGCTGTTGCAGCATGAGTGGCAAAGTAAAAAAAAATACAGAAATATAAGGTCTCTAAATGTAAGCAAACATGCATTATTTTACTTAACCTATTGTTCAGGAATAACATAGACCACAAAGACAATAACCCACCACATAGGCTTTACAGGCTGTTAACGAGCACCTCTGAAGGCTGGAATAGCCAACGAATAGGTGGTGTGGTGAGAACCAGACTCAACCGCCTTTGTCTCCCCATGGCCAATGTTACAAACCACGCCAGGTACTGATTTAAGGCTGAGGAAACGGAGGGAGAGCCCAGGACCCATTGAGAAATTCGTCACGGATACTTCATATAGCCTTTACAGATTGTTGTGGCAAGTGCTGTTAGCGAGCAGCACCCGTGAAGGCCGGCACGATGCACTGGGAGGTGTGGGTTGCCAGCACCACGCTCGGCCGCCTTTGTCTTCCAAGTGGCAATGTTTACACACCGCACCAGGTACTCATTTGAGGCTGAGTCGACCTACACAACGCACACACATGCCCGCACGCACGCGCACAACACACGCACGAGCACCCTGCGCAATGCATTAATGCACGCACAACTCAGAGCGTAGAACACAACATTTATTTTTCATTGCTCTCGTTGGCCTCTTCCGCGAGGTCAAGCACCAATGTTGGGAGATATTTTAAAGCAAAGGACGTTAGCGCTGTAGTGCTATCCCACGCTAACAGCAGCCGGGGGAGAGGAACGTCTATTGAGCAGAAGGAATCACTTCACACTGCGATAATGCCCCTGGTGCTGCCCCCCACCTCAGCTCCCCCACATTTTGTACTCTGCCTCTCGAATTTGTGACCCGAAAAATTAGCAATCTGTGCAAAAGAGGCACCGATGGCATCTGCCAGGGAAGACTTGGTGCGTCTGGCAGTAATTGTACGGTGAACGTTTCTTTTTTTGTTCTCTTGAACAATAAACTTTGCAAGATATTCAGACAAAACGCCTGACCTGTGCAATGGGGAAAGCGTGTGCATGCACACAGTGAGGGAAACAAGTATGTGATCCCCTGCTGATTTCGTACGTTTTCCCACTGACAAAGAAATGATCAGTCTATAATTTAAATGGTAGGTTTATTTGAACGGTGAGAGACAGAATAACAACAACAAAATCCAGGAAAACGCATCTCAAAAATGTTATAAATTGATTTGCATTTTAATGAGGGAATTAAGTATTTGACCCCTCTGCAAAACATGACTTAGTACTTGGTGGCAAAACCCTTGTTGGCAATCACAGAGGTCAGACGTTTCTTGTAGTTGGCCACCAGGTTTGCACACATCTCAGGAGGGATTTTGTCCCACTCCTCTCTGCAGATCTTCTCCAAGTCATTAAGGTTTCTAGGCTGACGTTTGGCAACTCGAACCTTCAGCTCTCTCCACAGATGTTATATGGGATTCAGGTCTGGAGACTGGCTAGGCCACTCCAGGACCTTAATGTGCTTCTTCTTGAGCCACTCCTTTGTTGCCTTGGCCGTGTGTTTTTGGTCATTGTCATGCTGGAATACCCATCCACGACCCATTTTCAATGCCCTGGCTAAGAAGGTTCTCACCCAGGATTTGACGGTACATGGCCCCGTCCATCGTCCATTTGATGCGGTGAAGTTGTCCTGTCCCCTTAGCAGAAAAACACCCCCAAAGCATAATGTTTCCACCTCCATGTTTGACGGTGGGGATGGTGTTCTTGGGGTCATAGGCAGCATTCCTCCTCCTCCAAACACGGCGAGTTGATGCCAAAGAGCTCCATTTTGGTCTCATCTGACCACAACACTTTTACCCAGTTGTCCTCTGAATCATTCAGATGTTCATTGGCAAACTTCAGAAGGGCATGTATATGTGCTTTCTTGAGCAGGGGGACCTTGCGGGTGCTGCAGGATTTCAGTCCTTCACGGCGTAGTATGTTACCAATTGTTTTCTTGGTGACTATGGTCCCAGCTGCCTTGAGATCATTGACAAGATCCTCCCGTGTAGTTCTGGGCTGATTCCTCACCGTTCTCATGATCATTACAACTCCACGAGGTGAGATCTTGCATGGAGCCCCAGGCCGAGGGAGATTGACAGTTCTTTTGTGTTTCTTCCATTTGCGAATAATCGCACCAACCGTTGTCACCTTCTCA